CGCTTATTGACTCAATGAGGAGACGTTGAACTGCATGTGTCAATGCAAATGGCGGTCACACGCGATATTGACTTTTCAATTTGACCCCACGTGTGTTTGATCCTTTCTGACTGTGGAACATTTCAATGAATGAGCGTCTTTTCTATGTTGTTGTTTTTGTCAGTCGTCCATCTGTTATTATCCATTCTATTTCTTACACGTGCTTTTAATAATCTGAACTTATATAAGCGGTGCGTTTTCAATGATGTTCAGTATATTTCTAACTGCATCACACAGCAGGTATGTACAATGTATATATTTCCAACTGCATCACACAGCAGGTATGTACAATGTATATATGTCTAACTGTATCACACAGCAGGTATGTACAATGTATATATGTCTAACTGTATCACACAGCAGGTATGTACAATGTATATATTTCCAACTGCATCACACAGCAGGTATGTACAATGTATATATGTCTAACTGTATCACACAGCAGGTATGTACAATGTATATATTTCCAACTGCATCACACAGCAGGTATGTACAATGTATACATGTCTAACTGTATCACACAGCAGGTATGTACAATGTATATATGTCTAACTGTATCACACAGCAGGTATGTACAATGTATATATGTCTAACTGCATCACACAGCAGGTATGTACAATGTATATATTTCCAACTGCATCACACAGCAGGTATGTACAATGTGTATATGTCTAACTGTATCACACAGCAGGTATGTACAATGTATATATGTCTAACTGTATCACACAGCAAGTATGTACAATGTATATATGTCTAACTGTATCACACAGCAGGTATGTACAATGTATATATTTCAAACTGCATCACACAGCAGGTATGTACAATGTATATATGTCTAACTGTATCACACAGCAGGTATGTACAATGTATATATGTCTAACTGCATCACACAGCAGGTATGTACAATGTATATATTTCTAACTGTATCACACAGCAGGTATGTACAATGTATATATGTCTAACTGTATCACACAGCAGGTATGTACAATGTATATATGTCTAACTGTATCACACAGCAAGTATGTACAATGTATATATTTCCAACTGCATCACACAGCAGATATGTACAATGTATATATTTCTAACTGCATCACAACACATCTACATGACAACTGTGAACGCTATTTCTGCATGCCAGTGTATATGAATATCACACTTAAATGTGTCGATACATTTGTTTACTTCGATTTAATATTTATTGACTGATCACATGCTGTAATCCCGGGGAAATGCAGAGTTGTCTCCCTTAGTTGACAATATGTTCACATTAGTATTACGCGTGTCATATAAACCTGGGACATACGGATTTATAGTGACATCAAAATTAGAGAGTTTTAGCGGTTCAGTTGTATATGTTCAAATCTGGTCTTAGTTTATAAAATGTAAATAGTCATAGACAAGAGATTTCCCTTTGCATTTGTAAAATAGAAAGTGTCGATAAATAAAGACAAAACTAGTATCCCTCAGCTGATTTTGTACCAGTGGGTATTATGCATGGAGTCATCACAGATATCATGACATCCTTACATAGTCAGCTTGTCCTCGGGGTTAACCTCTTTGGTCATGTGGACAAGGCGTCCGACTTTAGATTATATCTCTGCCATTCGTTGATTGCCTTCCCAACAGTCTCTGCACTGCTCTGTCTTCACCACACAGTAAAACATACAGCTACTAGACAGAGATACATTAGCATATCTCATTCATACTAAATACAGTGATAATTCTATCCAAATGAACCTATATTCCAGATCTTACCGAGATGCCACGCATATCCCCTGCTGTTATATTCTATGTCATTACAGGTACGTCTTTAATATGGGCCATGTCTGTACAGTATACGTACCTGAATTGTATACATATTACCATATTTGTGATAAATATAACGTGTAAAACAGACGCGGCTTGGGACGACGTACTATCCGTCATTCTTAATACCCAAATACCTTTTACAGGTATTGTATTAAGAGCACCCAGTGCCAGTCCAGTGTTGTCTCCAGTGTCTGACACAGCCAGGTTTAGCTGGGAGATTCCACAGGGAGGTCTGGGGACAGGGAATATTTTCTTTGCTGTCAGCCCTGTTGGTGTCGCTGTGTTCACAGTGACAGCTTCTGGGATATTCGTCAGCTTTGGCAACTACGGAGATAGACTGGAATACCAGGGGAACATAACAGCCAGGAATGTCACCTTCACCCTCAGCAATATCCAGACATCAGATGCAGGGACATACACATGTGGGGCTGGAGGGGCTGCTACTGTGATACTGAACTGTGGACAGAAACTGGTTGTCCTGAGTAAGTTGCTAGAGAATTAAGTTGGTTCCTCTTGAGCATAGGTTGGATTATTCCTATGTATAGTTCCATATATATATTCTGACAAATATAATTGTCTCAACTATGTGTTGGGTGCCACTATCATGTCATCATCAAAGCAGCTAAGAGGTAAATATAACCCTTGTGTATTTGATTTAGCTTAAACCTCTCATTCCTAATAAGGGCAACGGAAACTGCATACGTTATCTAACGGTTAATGATGATATCCCCTGATCTTACACATGTACTGTTAATGCTAGAATGTCGAATGCACAGCACATGCATTTGAAACAAACAATCAAAACAAGATATCTTTTCTCAAAACTATGTGGCCAATTATCTATAAAACATCAACGGAATATTATACAGAAGTCATAACAAAGGAAACTCTCACAACTGAATGATATTATTTAGCTTAGAACATTCAACGCTATTAAAATGGGACACACACACCCTTTACCCCTTTTGTGAAATCGATGAGGGTATTTGTGAAAGCCTTGCAAACAAATAGTCATAACGAGACTATGAGACCGAACGAACGGTGATATTGTCTGGCTTGCTAGAATGATGGAAGTCAGTGAACTGAGGCGAATGAGACGACTGGTCATCACGTGACCACTTGAACCTAGAGGTTCAGGGGTGATGTGTAATATATTGATTAAAACATTGACATTGATATATTGACACAAACGTGGTATTTCTTGGTCGTCCTGTGGTTGAACTAACGAGGCTAGAACCAAGCAAATAATGCTAATCGTTGTGTCAAAGAAACTATAAAAATATCAAAGAACTTGTAAACAAACACGTAACGCTTAAAGACAGATCTCCCTCTTACCATGAGCCAGTGTAGTACTTCAATATCGGCTTAATGCTCACATACGTATGTGTGCGTGTTATGAGTCTGGCAGCTGTGTCGTAAACAAATATCTAACTTGTCCAGGTACTGCTGCCGTATTGTAAACTGTTGCAGTAGTTCAAACGTAATGAAAGCAGTTTGCAGATGTTGCTGACGTGATTCTCGACGCTCATTGTTGAGTCAAAGATGACTCCTGGCTTTCCAGCATAGCTTTCTGGCTGGCCATGACCGTGTCTCATGGGACCTCGAACTCGATCAGTTCAGTTCTCTTGAACAGTGAACAGGACTGAGAAAATTGTTGAGAAATGTGGCAAACCTTAATTCTCTACTCTCCAACGTCAAACATACAATGATACACGACTGTTTGCGTAACATGAGATATCGTGGAAACCAAGATAAAGCTTAACCAATAACTACAAGATGTGCTGTTATCAAGAGCATTGAGAAGTATTGATGTTGTTTCAGCTGAATCGCTACAACATGCTGCATCAGTTTGGGGCGATAGTTCTTAAACAAGCATTTGATTCCATCTTCTTGGTCAATACAGATCTATGACTGGGTATCATAGATTTTACCGACGTGAAGCGTTTTGAACGCAGTCACTGAGAATAAAACCGAGATTGAATGAATTAGTATCCCGGAATAAGGTGTGTTTCAAGTAGCGATGTCCTATGAATTGCAGAAAATATCCTTGCAGCAGCGTCGCCAGTGATAGTGATGTGTCCACACAACAGAGACTTTCGCTTGTATGACTGTACATACAAAATTATCGAAATTACATAAGACAGAAAATATGTCGAATGCATGTCAAGCACACGAAGGAAATGTCCATGATTACTAAACTTTACAAATCATCTTGTGTATCTTATCTGTTGGGTGGGTCACCTACCTCAACATTGAAGTAGGGGATTTGAAAAATTGCCAAGAGTTGAAACATACCGTTAATGTCTTATTTAGGGATTAGGTAGATTTGAACTGTGTACCAGTTCTCAAACAGGGCATCAGCTTCATGTGGGTAGCATTATATGTATAGCATCCTGACGTATTGCTGATCTCATTACATCGGTAAAACCCAAGAGCTCCATGTTGGTGTTACCTACATTAGAACATGTCACACAGAGATATAGAATGGGTATAGATGTTGGGTGTAAATTTGGGATTAGGGAGTCTCGGAGAGTCAGCCTCAAGTGAGTGATACCTTGCTTGTCAACCTAATAATACACATGGGGTAGGTGACAGTACTACAGTCAGTGTTGATGTTCAGTGTAAGTTTATAATCTACACTCGTGACAGTGTTACAGGCAGTGTTTATGTTCAGTGTAAGTATATAATCTACAGTCGTGACAGTGTTACAGTCAGTGTTGATGTTCAGTGTAAGTATATAGTCTACGCTGGTGACAGTGTTACAGTCAGTGTTGATGTTCAGTGTAAGTATATAATCTACACTGGTGACAGTGTTACAGTCAGTGTTGATGTTCAGTGTAAGTATATGGTCTACACTGGTGTCAGTGTTACAGTCAGTGTTGATGTTCAGTGTAAGTATATAATCTACACTGGTGACAGTGTAACAGCCAGTGTTGATGTTCAGTGTAAGTATATAGTCTACACTGGTGACAGTGTTACAGTCAGTTTCCTATCCCAGACGGTCCACCTGTGTCTGTTCACGCCTCCACTCAGACTGTGACAGAGGGACAGACACTGACTGCGACCCGCTCTATGGACTCCAAACCTGCAGCAGCTGTGACATGGACAAGGAAAGATGGTGGTAGTTTTACTCCTCAGACTGGATCTACTCTGACCATCAGCAACGTACAGAGATCACAGGCAGGGACATATGTGTGTACAGCTACCAACACCCTCAGTCCTTGTGTGGGGACATCTGCAGTGAGATCTGACTCTGTGGAGGTGACAGCGGATGTACAGTGTAAGTTTCATTGTTAGAATACTGGACATATGTGTGTACAGCAAGCAACACCCTCAGTCCTTGTGTGGGGACATCTGTAGTGAGATCTGACACTGTGGAGGTAACAGTGAATGTACAGTGTAAGTATCATTGTCAGAATACCTGTCAGAATATGTGTGTACAGCTACCAACACCCTCATGCGACAAAGTTCTGTTCAAATGGCCTGGATGACTTCCTGTCTGTTAGTAAGAGTATGTGGGTACTGTCATCACATGTCAGATGTGTTCCATGGGCGAACAGACCACGGAAACGCGTTGAAGCTGGCTGCTGTCAAGGAAGTGTTGTACAATGGGGTTTTCTTTTACATCTGGCGTTTGATATTAGGCACCGCGTGTTGTACTCTTGTACAAAACTCGGCTTGCCACTGTCTGTCTGTTTGCCCAATCGCATTTGTCTCCTATTGCGTCCTGTTTGTGATCCCGAATCATTTTCCGAGAAGCAAAATGCAAGATGCACAAGTACCGGTCTTCATCAGACATTGTTATTCAAAGTCTTTGTGTAACGTTGCATCATTTTAGTTGATGAATGCCACTGAATGTTCCAACCATGTGGCTACCATCACGTTGTTTGGGGGGAGGGTCGTGGCATTCCCGCGCTATTATGAGTGTGAGTCTTTCACATCCGTATAATATATACACTGTTTTGCACGTGTCTTTTCACCATTAGCATGTTCACCGCCAACTCTCGAAGCGGTTCAGTGACAGTTAACGAGTCTGATGCAGTGATATTGAGTTGCCATATTGACATTAATCTAAGGTCAGTCATCAGGTTACTGAATGGATCTGAGGAGTTGACAAGGGCAGATAACTTCCTGACAGCAACATATAGACTGGAGTCAGCAGATTGTAGACAAAGAGGGAACTACTCTTGTACTGCCACCAACAACATCGGGGCACCTGTCATCCAGACGGTCGAGCTGCTGGTCAAATGTACGGATATCCACGAAGGTTCTTATTACATACTTTCCTCCGTCTTCCTCCAACTGTTTTTGCCATGGCACGTAATTAGTTGAAGTAAAGCCATTATATATTAGCAGCAAAAAAACGTCAGCTGAGAATTTTCCTTCGCAGAAACGGATAACTGTAAACTCATTTGATGTTTTGATTACATATTTTTGACAACATCTCCAACTGTACCTGAGCAAAGACATTCCTTCCCAAACCCAGGAAATGGTCTCAAAAACGCAACCTGATATCGGAGATAGTACGGAGTTCTTCATGCAACTCATGCTGCACGTGCTGTTCACAAGGACCAACCGTATAAACTGCTCCCCAAACCTGGTTGAAACATTCACAGTGTACAACGCCAGCAGGATGCCGCGAGTCAAAACAGCTAAGAGGAACCAGGCACTAGGATGAGACTTGAAGCTGGACACACTGTACAAGCCGTTGCCAATCACTTCCAGGTCAACGTTCGGACCATCTATGGGCTGCAGCAACGTTCGCGGGCCACCAACACCACAAATGATCTCCCCCGTACTGGCAGACGAAGAGTGACTTCAAGATGACAAGACCGCCATGTTGTGCGACAGCATGTACAGAATCCCCTTACGCAGGCATCCGAAATAGTCCGCAAGACAGTGGGAACACACGGAAGACTAATCAGTACTAATACAGTACGCCGACGTCAGGAACCTCCATTGCGGTAGACATAACCGCAGACCTATCCACACCCCTCGTCATCGGCGTGAACGCCTACAGTTTGCCCTACAACACCAAAACTGGCGATAAAGTGAGTGAGTGAGTGTGTGAGTTAATATTTAACGTCACATCGGCAATATCTCAGCCATATCGTGACGAAAACAATTTATACAATAAAAAGTGAAAATAGTTTGAAGATTAAAACCTGTTGTCGATGGACAGGAACAATACTAGATAGTCACAGATATAATATAAAACTAGCGAACACAGCTAAAACATTTCAATTAAAGAGACAATACAATATAAAACACGGGCTATAGATTGCCAACAACTGAAGTTACATCACCATACTAGGAACCATGAGGACTTACATTACTTTTGCTACATGCATGGGCCCTAGCCTGATTTATACCATCCCTTCAGCCGCTGGCGATTGTAGGATAATTTAGCCGAAATTTAAAAGAACAAAAATACTACATTTAAAAACTTGGTACGTGAAAAGTATACTTTGAAAGTTTTACACTCTCAGGAGGACAATAGTTTTAGGCTACTTCAAACCCCTTTGGGGATACAGCCACTAACAATGTAAGTTGATAATCTGAACTACCAATTATAAAACTCTATTTACAAAACATATATCAAAATTCATTTAACAAATCTATCTCTTTTTAAAAATCAATGATTAAATGATAATAAACTTTATTAAAAAGACCCTTTACTGTTTTTATGTTGAAATATTTATCCCTTATGATGGGGAATTTAACACAGTCAAGCAGGACATGCTTGACCGTGGTTCTCTCATCACAAGGGATACAAAACGGAGGATCCTCTCTTTTCAGTAGGTATGCATGAGTATATCTTGTGTGACCAATACGACATCGTCGTATGATGACCTCCTCAAATCTGGACTGACAACCCAAGTAAGTGTAACCGAAACAGGGTTTTGTTGCATGTATTTTATTGATAAGTACTTGGGTGTCCCACTTCTTTTGCATCAGATCACGGATGTAGGTTGTAATGCTAGCTTTGTAATCAGAGTATGTGATAAGAAGTGGCGTCAGAGATTTATTGAGTGCTGCCTTGTCTGCAAGATCAGCCTTTGTATTCCCAGAAATGCCATCGTGGCTGGGTAACCAACAAAAGACGATGTCGCAGTGGCCAGTTGCAAGCTCATTATACAATTCAATAATTTCTAATAAAAGTGGATGTATACAAGAACAATTTTTAATAGCCTGAAGACACGAAAGAGAATCGGAAAAGATTATCTATTGTTTATATTTATGGTGTTTATTAATATACTTAATAGCTGTTAATGTGGCGTTAGCTTCTGCTGTGAAAATAGAGCTGTTGTTTGGTAGTCGAGAAGATATTATTCAGGATCCAGTGACAGTGGCACATGCCACAGCGCCACCATCCGTGGACCTATCTGTTAATAAGGATTTGAATGTATTATATTTATTTTTTAATTGATAATATTCTTGTTTATATTGTAATTCATTAGTTTCAGGTTACTGAAACTTTGTCAGAGTTAGGTACCTTCAGGCCTGACCAGTTTCCAAGGAGGAGAAGAAAGAAGACGGGAAGGAAATGTATTTTCCAGCTCAATGCCGGCTGCAGAAATGAATGGTTTAATTCTTAACTCGTTAGAATAAAGTTTTGTTATATACTGCAGGGAAAATTTTATACGGCGTTGTGTAAGAGATGGCTCATCAGCCTCGACGTAGAGACTGTCAACAAGAGAGGTTCTAAAGGACCCAAGACAAAGTCTTAGACCTTGGTGGTGGACACAATCAAGTAATTTTAGGTTGCTTTTGCAGGCTCCACCATATACGATGGAACCATAATCAAGTTTTGATCGCACCTATGATCTACATAAGTGAAGGAGGGTAATTTGATCCCTTCCCCACTTTGAATTAGAAACAACCTTTAACAAATCAAGTTCCTTCAGACATTTAGCTTTAAGTGATTTGATATGTGGCAAGATGGTGAAATGAGAATCGAAAATTAGACCCAAGAATTTGGCTTCCTTTACAACTTTGATGGGAGTGCCATTTAAAAATACTTCTGGGTCCTTATGCGGCTTATATTTTCTACAAAAGTGTAGACAATTAGTTTTTGATTTAAAAAATTTAAATCCATTTTCAAGACACCATTTATTTATTTTATTTAAACGTAACTGCAATTGCCGTTCAATAGCATGCATATTCTTACCACGACAAGAAATATTCAAATCATCCACCAAAAGAGATCCATCTCTGGAATCGTTTAAAACCTCGGATAAAGTGTTGATCTTGATACTAAATACTCAGTTTTTGTAGTTAATATAGTATCACCGTCCTTCAGATGATGAACAGTAGATTTAGAACCTTTGCCCTTTATTTTTTGGATAATGTTCCACACCTTTGACACAGATGTACGTGAATTTATTTTGGAAACATTGTTCCTCCAAGACTGACGCTTATTTTGTTTAAATGCGCGTCGAGCCTTGGCATTAAACACTTTTACTTTGTCTAAATTATGGACGGAAGGATGTTTGCGAAAATATTTTGTTCTGCTTTCTTCCTGCACTTTCTGTCCTGTTTACATTCATTATTAAACCGTAGTTTACGAATGTGTGGAGTTGCAGAGGACTGTGGAATTGTTCTGTCAGCAATGTCATTTAAAATATCTGAAAAAGACTGTACAGGATCTTCACTGTTCCTGAAAAGGTAAAGTCTCATATAATGACCAATCAGCCCTGGCGAATTCCTTCTCGATACAATCTGTTTGATTGGCATTTAGAAGTTGGTGACTAATAAGAAAGTAAGAAAGTTTATGGATAACAACTTCTTTATTATATATGATGCGACGTTTCGGTATGGATTCTTATATCGTTGTCAAGCATGAGTGAAGTACTACAGAACAGACTTATATACATGAACAGGGATTAAGTAATAACAACATGTAGGACTGAATCAGGGGGATTAACAATAAGAACAAGGCACGGTGGCAATAATGTAGTGACAATAGGAAGCCAATGGTGGTGGAGGTAAAAACAAAATATACATGCTGATGAGATTAATTAGCAATGATGGCTGAGGTGCTCTAATCTGTTGATTTTATCAGATCATTGTATGCAGAAGGGATGAGATATCCCTGGTCTCTGTTGATTGAGGGCTTGTGTCTCCGGATTTGAACTGCTTCTGCAAGTTTCCTTTTGGTGAAGTCCTGGTGGTTTTTGGATAATATCTCCACATTCTCCCAAATTATGTTGCGATTGGTGCAGTTACTTTCTTACTTCTCGATAAGGTGGATCATCACCAGGGTTGATTGTTTTAAGATTGGTTGGGAAGTGATCACTCCCACATAGGCCATCATGAATCATCCATTCAAATTCATTATACAAGATGGAGTCATCGAGTGACAAATCCAGGGAAGAATATGTTCCCGTAGCTGGATGTAGATAAGTGGCTGAATCATCATTGAAAATACATAAATTATTATCGGAAATGAATTCCTAAAGAATTTTGCCTTTATTATTAGTGTGGACACTCCCCCCAAAGCGGGTTGTGTCCGTTGAGGTTGTCCATAATGAGACACGACACGGCTTTGGAAGCTGATCATAGAGATGTTGAAGATCCCATTGTCGAATGTCCGAAGAGCAATATGCAGGGTCAGACGAACAGCTACGGTTTGAAGATTGGTATCAAGAGATACAGGCCTATGAATTATACCCTAGCGCACAAGAAAAATGGTAGCACCCCCAGTTTCCATATCTCCCGGAGGAGAAACGGAGTGATGATCGGTATACTGCCGCAGTTATCAGTATTTTTTAGATACGTTTCTTGAAGACATAATGCTGACGGTTTACAATCTTGCATCAATAAGTGGATCTCACTGAGGGTTTTTTTCAATCCTCTGCAATTCCACTGCATTAAAGTCGACAATTGAGTCATGGTGCCTCAATTGGCGATCGTTCTCGTGAATGTGAGGAGGAGCTATTCCTCCTTCTGTCTTGTAAACAGGGTAACGTCCACATCTAGAGGCCCAAAAGAGTTTTGTATAGGAACCTCTGGAGATAAAGGAATGATAGCGATTGGTTTTCTCTTTATTTTTTCCCCTTTCTGTTTGACTGATTGACTGTCAGGCTGTTTGTGAGACATTTCTGATTTTGGCTCAGGTTGTTTCTCGGTTTGACATCCAGATGTAGACTGAATTACTGGGGAAGTCGCTGATACAACTGAACCTGAATTAATGGATTAATGGACCCATGTCAGGTTAGTCTGACAGGCTACAGAGGATTTCGCTACAGAGCGAGTTACTGCAGCAGAGTATGTTTTATTTGATGAAGTTATGTTCTGAGTTATGAATAGCTTTTTTGCGTCAAGATATGATATATTCCTTTCGCATTTCAGTTTCAATATTTTTACTCTTTTTGCCAAACAGGACAGGATTTGGATGTAGCAGCATGTGGTCCAGAACAGTTTGCACATTTAAAATCATTGTCACATTCTGTATTTTCGTAGCAGTCACCACAACGATGACATGCAACAGAGCCACGACAAGAGTTGGACCCATGACCGAACTACTGACACTTAAAGCAACGAAGTGGACTGGGGCCATACACGTCCACTTCAATATTGAAATAACCCTCTTTAATGGATGGTAGTATGGGTGCACGGGCAAACGGCAAGAGCTAGGTGTTGGCTTTCACAATAGTACCCTCTCTCTTGATGGTGAAACGTTTTACAGCAGTTACACCCTAGTTAGCGTTACCCAGCACCCACCACGAGGAGGTGGCTCTTCACGTGTGCCACTGGCGATACAGGCAATGGAGAACTGTTCTCTTCATAGATGAGAGTCGGTACTGTGTATCAACTGCAGATGGCAGAAGAAGAATATGGCCACGACGTGGCCAGCGTTACTCAGACCAATGTGTTATGGAAAGAGACTCATGGGGAGGTGTAAGCATCATGGTATGGCGTGGAATAGGTCTGAACCAGAGAGCAAGTCCTCTGGTGTTCCAGAACCTAGGTCCAGGGAGAGAAGGCGGCATCACAGCGGTGCGCTACACCAACCTAGCTCTCTGACCCCACGTCATACTACATTTCGCACGTCACCAGAACATTTTCCAGCATGATAACACCCGGGCCCGTAATGCCAGAGCTAGAGAGGACTTCCTACAGCAGAACGGTGTCAACATTATGCAGCGACCAGCCCTTAGTCCTGATTTAAACCCAGTAGAACATCTTTTGGATGAAATTCAGAGGAGACTGAATAATGTCATACCAAGTCCGAACATAGCCGATTTATTGCGCCAGGCCTTTCTCAGGGTGTGGTTCAAGGTGCTAATTGCCTTCATCAATCGATTGGTACACTCCATGCATAGACGCTGTGCTTCAGTTATTGCCGCTCGTGGTGGTCACACTAGATACTGAAGTCAAGGGTCTGAATGTACTGCAAACGTTCACGTAATAGCTTGGAATTGTGCTGAGTTATTCATTGGCGTGTCAAGATATTGTACCCAAAAAATATTTTTGATCCGCATATTATGTCCATTTCTGTACTGATTTGATTACAGTGTCTATCTAATTTTGAATTCGTACTGACGTGTTTTTTTTTATGCTGAGTATATAATACTGAAAAGTTTTAGTACATCTGTTAATTGAACATATGTCCTGATCAATCAGATGAGATATTCACAATTGGTAAATCAGTGATATGTATTTGTGAAACAAATGCGTGGGTGTGTTTCTTTGATTCGTGGGGAAATGTTGTGCATCAGGTTCACCGCGACTCGAAGGGACAGTTTCACAGCAACTCAAGTACGCTGCTACACTGGGTGTTGACGTGACTGTGTCTGTGTCAGTCCTGACCTACCCCCTTCCTACATTCACCTGGACTAGATCCATCAGCACCAGCCAGGACCTCACTGGTTCCTCCAGCCCTGTCTCAGACATCTCAGTCACTGCCAGACTACACCTTACTAACCTCCAACAGCAGAACTTCGGGGACTACAGTCTGACAGTGGACAATGGTGTGGGGAGTCCAGTCACATACACAGTCAGCATAGTACCTGCAGGTGAGTGGTTGATTTTTAATAACTCATTTTCTGCTTTTAAGAGGCATTGGTGAATAGTTGTATGGATAGGTTTATGGATGGGAGGATGAATGGATGAGTGGATGGGTTTAGGGGTTGATGGGTTGATGTAGAACATTTTTTATGGATAACAACTTCTTTATTTCGTGAGTGCGACGTTTAGATACAGATTATTGTACCGTTGTCAAGCAGGACTGCTCTCTGAATCTCTGACAGCCACATATAGACTTGAGTCAGTCGATTGTAGACAACGGTACAAGAATCTGTATCGAAACGTCGCACTCACGAAATAAAGAAGTTGTTATCCATAAAAAAATTGTTCTATATTGTACGTCTCTAGTTCGAAAATGCCACTCAAACAAGTTATTGGTTGTTGGATGGTTGATATATATGTAGTCCATGGCGAACGCTTTGACGAACGCTTCATCTGATGTTCCTCATTCATCAAGCTCGCCTTTATATATGTGCACGTATCAATTTCAACCTGTTTCTTTCTACTGGTCTTCTTAGACCTATAAAATTGCTTTTTACCTTATGAGCTAAACTTCATAGCCTATGAGAGCGTGCTTTAGTATTCTATAATTTCCCAAATGCCAACACCATGGTTGAACGTCGATTGATAACAGGCTAGGACGGCGAGGAAGTGAGCACTATTCTTTCAATATTCAGGAAGTCAATAACTTGAAGCATTTAAAGATCGAAGCTTTCATAAAGTGAAGGGCACTTGAGGCAAAGGTATGTTTTACAAATCCAATATGTTGAAAAGGTAAGGTCTAAATCTTGCATTCACTATTTTAAACACCTAAACCATATATTGACTGAAAAATCAGATCTGATGGTAAACTTAAAACAATATCAAAATCAGCAATTATTGAACACCATAAATTCCAATTCCGATTGTTGGGAGGATTACATTTATACATACATTATAACTGCTTGAGAACCTTTCTCTCGAACACGAATTTTTGTGATTGTTTATGACAATATTGATCCTTCACACAACTGACCAATAAAAGTTGAGTTTGCAAAATAATTGAATCCTTGAAAAATAATCGAGCTTGCAAACTAGTAACATAATAACAAATATACGATGTTATATCTATGAAAACACTTGTACCATCAATAATTTAGAATCTTGAATGACACATCAGCGTAATACTGTAAGATGTGACATCACAGATCTTAAGGACAGAGACATAGCTTTAAAAAAAACAGACATTGAGTTTTGTCTGTGACAACGAAATATCTATATGACAGTAAGAAATTCTGTCAACGCTAAATAATGACGTTGCTTTTAAGTATCGAACTGAGAAAGTGACTCGGTAAGAAGAACGTGTGGTGAAATAGACAAATGAAATTGGTAATCTACTGTCATAACATATAAAAAGCTCGCGCCTGTGAAATATCAACAAAACATTAGAAAAATAGCTGACACCAAAGCCTTCATCGAGTATTCACCGGACAACCAGCTTCCAAGCTGCGCATGTACTATGAGCGCAGCCCAGCTGTTGAAACCACTTTTCCCCTAAGCGCTGGGGGAAAATTAGTGAATCGTTTGAACTCCGATTTCGCGCGGGTTTTTTCATCGCGTTAATTTTCAACTTTATAAGTTGAATTTGCATTTTTGATGATTTGTTTCGGTACGTCCATACCGAAAGGTATCAGAATCTGCAAAGTTGTGTTTTACGTTGCATGTGACCTTTAACTGTTACTGTCTAGATCAGGACTGGGGTAGCCTAATGATTAAAACGTTCGCTCGTCGCGCCGAACGTCTGGGCTGGATTCCCTACATGAATGCAATATGGGAAGTTCATTTTAGGTTTCTCCTGCTATGATATTGCTGAAATATTGCTAAAAGCGTAAAACCATACTCACTCACTGCGAGTTGTTTTAGTCACGACGAGGCTGAATTACAGTCGACATAGAGACAAATGCATAAACCCTGTCATGAAAACATCCCCAGTTCACAACTATTTTTGTTTGATGATTGATCATTACTTCCATTTTTATGGCACTTGAACATTCCAACATAACAACGTTCGTATTAATTTGTTGCAAGGACCACCACAGATACCGTCACAGTTTCGAGATCTGGATAATGCAACAACGTCGTCGGTATGGCTGTCGTGGCTGCCTGGGTTCAATGGTGGACGCCCTCAGACGTTTCTGATTGAGTATCTTCAATCTGGTACAAGAAAGTGGACTGTGCACAATTCGAATGATGATAAAGGCGAGAGGATGGTGGTGGACGTAACAGGCCTTATATCTGGAGAGATTTACACATTCCGACTACTTGCTAAAAATGACTATGGGGATATGTCTTTGTAGCATCTGAAACTGCTGGGGGTATGTGTCACTCAAGGAGAACCATACATTGTTTCAAGTGTCAGTTAAATCATATTGCTAACTCATCATCCCCACTACCAAACATTTCTTTAATGAATTTATTTTAACTTTTTAATAGCACTATTGGGATGTCTTATTTCTATTAAATCTGCAGCGGCAATGGATTTTAATGAACAGGTAACTGCTCTTGTGTCTGCGTAAGTACTACCACAGTATCGCACATCATGTTGTGTGAAAGAATACTGCATTCTGAGTGTAAACTTGTGTATCTGGGTTAGCAATATCAGTCTGAATAGAACTAGAAGTCAGCGTTCCACGTTTTATACATATTTTCTGTGTGATTGGACACAAGTCTACTGATCACTGTCACCCTTTCACCTGATACGGTGACATGCGATAAGTAATCGTCTGTTATGATTTTTCTGTTAAACTGTAGATCCACAAACAAAAACTCGAAACTCCATCTACTAGTACTGGAGTAACAGCAGGAGCGGTGGTAGGCGGGATACTCATCACCTTGCTCATTGTGGGAATTGTACTCACGGTACTCTACAGAAACGGATACAGGTGCAGAAATATTAAAGGTATGTGGTTACATTTCCGTTGTATAAGGATGCAAGCTATTCAAGGTCAACCGATATAGTCTCCAATTGTTGTTCCATACTTTTTTGAGGATATGCTTGAAAGAAATATCATATCATTAGGATTTCTATTTTACGATACATTTGCAATTGGTATTCACAAAACAGGATTTAGTTTCACTAACCAAAATACATGTTAAATGTTGCGATTATTACGTACCTATATTCATTTTGTGGCATACTTTTGCATTTATCTATCTTTGGGGATTTCATTTTCGATCAATGCGACTTGTTTCCATGAAGGGTGTGTGTTATAAACTAAATACCATCCCATCTGGCTATTTTTTGTTTTCCAGGAAGTGGATCGGCAATGTTGAATACTTGCATAGCAATGTAACGAAATTATGAAATATGGTAAAGAGATAACAAATACACATACTCCCTGATAAATCGTCTTAGGAACTTACAACTATAATGTTCTGCCAGAGTCGATCTTTGTAATATTGTTGCAGCAGGCATTGTTTTTGTGTGTTTAACAGGATAACCCCTAACCTGTGGAAATGGACAACAGAGGATATTCATCATTAGGTATGTACTGGTGTCGGGTTGTTCATTGTGTTGATATTATCATTATCCCTGGGTCTGTTTCAGTAGCAAAATAATTACTATCTTGTCATATGTATTTGCTTCAGATCAAATTAACGGTCCAGCTCAGTATTCCAATTTGGAGGAGGAATCAGAAAAGCGACACTACTCTCAGTTGAAGATTTATCAGAATACAAAAGTTAGGTGCAGATGTTGGTCTTTTCTGTACTAAGTTGAATTCATGGGAAAGGTTAGATTATTGAACTGCTGGTAAGAAGGGCGTTACAATTTGAGTTTATTGATGAAATATGTAATGGATCTCATCTTCAGAGAATGCTGCAGGAGATACAAGTACCTATGAAGGCGTGACCGAGACTCCTCCTGTGACCTATGAGTCCATCAGTTCCCCGCCATACCAGAACACTGGGGCACATTCTCAAGGTAACCAACACAAGGAACAATCTTGCTGACTGGAATCTTGTGTCATCGTCATGGATCAACAGTGTTCATGAATAGTCATCTGCGTAATCATAAACATATGCTCAGCCTCCTGTTAAAATGTAACGTGCTTTATGATATCTATGATATTGAGTTCATATCACATATGTGTGTGATTACCTTTAGTTCTGTACTTTTCAGGTCCCGAGCACGGACACAACTAACGAAGCACCAGCATATACATCATGATATTAGAGCCAGGTGCTGATCACGAAACACGTTCAACGTACTGCATTCCTTTGCTTTGCAGCAACACATCTTCTTTGGTTTTCTCAACTTTTCATTATTTTGTGTTTGCAAGATCAGTATCATTGATACATGCACATTTACTTTGAGAAAAAACAAAACAACAATCAAGTGAACGTCAAATCATTTGTATAATACTCTATTTGTATTTGTTTATTTTGTATCATGCCTTTTAGATCTCTTCTTTGTAGAATATTTAACGTTAAATGTATCACATTGTAAATAAAAATATTTTCACACATCCGTTTGGTGATTATGTGGAAACATGGTTCCATAAATAGAACTACCACAATAGAAATCCGATCTGTCAATAATGCCACAACCGCTAAGGACGGGACTCCGTCGTGATTTGGAGAGGGATCAGTAGAGGTCACAGAAGCGATCTCCTGTTCTACATGATGACAGGTGAGCCCCATAGTGACGACATTCTCTGTGTGCACTGATGCAATATAATCAGACTTCAACTATTGGGAAATATCGAACAGCCTCATTCTGTTGTCATGAGACCTTAGTCTTATTGAACGCAGATGAAATGTGCTGCAGATCACCCACTCATTATGGTCCCATTGAAGTGTGGAACAATCATCTTTCAGACACCAATTGGGAGCAAAAGGCGACGATGCGGGTATCATGTGTCGTGTCACCTTTTTTCAGACAACGAGTTTGTTTCCGTCACTGTTACGTGTGTCCTTTGCTATTTAAACGGATGAACACATGCACTTTGCAGTATAACCCTTTATAAGTAGCTATACATAGCTGTCAGGATCAGACTATATGAAGGTTACTAGATTTATCAGTTGTCCAACTGCTACAAAGCAATACTGACAGACATCAGCTGGAATCACCTCTTGCATAACCAGCTTCAGAGTTGTACAGCATCTCCGACCTATCATCTAGCGTCATGGACACGCGTTTTGTCGCTCATGTAGTATTTCTGCACACAGGTGAGTCTGTGGCCTGTGTGTGCGTATTGCACGATAAGGTCGGTGACAGGGATCCACAATATTTGCGCCTTGTATAGGTCTTTACTGCAACAAAGACATAGAAGAAAGAGTACTGAAGAAACTTATGAGCAAAGTAATACCAAATCTATTAAGGCTGATATAACTACTGATTTGCCATCAGGCTTCCATATTTCCACTGTTGTGATATTGTGACAGGGTGATATCTTGGAATAACACAACTAATCAACAAGATGAAATGTCCAGATGACAAGATGGTGCACAATTGTCACGACCAAATCTATACCGCGGTTGGAAGAAAGAAATATTTATGCTTCTCTTCCATCCGAAAAATGATCATGTGCACTAATCATTCATTGTAATGACACGTGATAAGATTTTGTAAGGATATTAAACACGGGCTATGGACAACCAGCAACGAAAGCTGGGCCACTTTACAGGGGGTCATGGGGGACGTCAGCTTCCGGCGTGAATCCTGAATGAAGGAGACCCCTTATTCATATGCAAACAGTTGAGAAGACCAATTCAATGTGCTCTGCAACTTGAAATTGTTCTCTGATCTATGCCTTAATATTTAGCTAAGTCCCTTAACGGGGTGAACAATGTCTCTGGCATTGTTCCTGTGTCCAAATATATCGTCGGTTATTCCGTGTTAGTGTTTGTTAACACCTGTCACGTGCTCAAACGTATATAATATTTAGTTGAAGTGCGAACTGTTGCCATGAATTCCCAAATGTGAATCTTGGTGACACAAATCAAGGACTCCACACAGATAACACTCATTTCATGTCGTAATTCGTTAACCCAGAAATCGGTGCCAGTGTAGAATAGTAAGTAAGAGATTCGCTCCTGTTCTGGGATGCAATTTCGCACCTGTTCTGGGATGCAATGTTTAATAGCGGTTTCCAACCACTTTTTTAAAAACAGCTTAAAATTAAATTGCTTGTATGCAATATATCTTTGTTTGTTCTTTTAACGTATACTGTAAGCTTATGCGTATAGTCCGTTAGCATCTGAATCATTTAAGCAATCTAGTATTGCCTCGCTATTTCGTAAATAATATCAGGGTACCTGCAACAACTTTTTAAAATTTACCAGCGGTACTACCTGACAGGTCTGCGGGTCGTCTGTGACACTTAACAAAGCCAATCAGATCGCACACATAAGAGAAATCATAAGATCCCCTTAGGTCATTGAAGATGTTGTCATTTCGATCTTTTACGAGAGCATCAAGGTTGTACAACACTAAATCAGAATCACATGCTTCCTGAGCGAGTAGCGTGCGTAAACATGTGTGTTTGTATTGTAGTTTAAAGGCCAGACTGTACCCTTGTGAACATGGAAAGACTGTATACAGCTGGATGAATTTTAAACCAAAATATAACGTTACTTTAGAGGTTTATGGGATAACATTTAGTGCAGTGTAACCTCAACACATAACAGTGTTCTTATAACAATTTGAATTATGTCCCTTTATTATGGCGTGATCTTTCTGATAAGCCACATCGACCCTGGAAGGTTGTGTGAGTTGTTTAGATACGTATAAAGAGTCCATTTCCTGTATATAATGGATAAGAGATGTGCATTCTTGAGTGCAGTGACTGTCATGCTGGCCGCTGTATGTTTAAAAGGCTCCGTTTGTCAAGGTAAGTCCGTAAACAGTTTGATATGCCCTGCTAACACTGACTAACCTTAAGCCTAGTTTGTCTGTTGGCCGGTCCACGTGTAATATCATGAATGGGGGTAGTTTGGCAAAAGTACTTATAGTCGAGATGCTGAAATCGTGGCAAATGTGCATTTAACGGCTTACTGTAGCGCTGGTAATAACTGGCTCCGACTGATGACTTGATCTCACTTCACAGATCTCTTTCATGTCCAGGGTTAGTTGTGTTTAGGTTTGAGAAAGTAACATTCAACCCTGTCCTTGGCCCGTGGATCCCCTTTCCGATCAAATACCCGTTTACGATCCCCACGGTCATGCACCAGTACTTGCCAGCCAAACACACCTGAAGGATCCTAATGATTAGGCACCTGTTCCTGATAAACATCCTGTGAATATCCCTACGGTTATTGGCACATCCTAACGACACGTAGGGCTCGTTGTCAGGTAGGATATATGTCTAATAATGAATGCATTCCGAGCAATCTGTTTAAACTCAGTACATTGTTCCAACGTTTAGAGCTTCCTTGATAACGTGTTGATTACGCATGCGCCGAAAGGAAACCATACAGCTGCTGATGACTTTGGAAATGAGCACTAATCGTGACAGCGGTTTTTGTCCCATGGTGGGATGTTCGTTACGTAGTCAAGCTCATCTTGAAGCTGACAAAATCAGTGATCCAGATTAAAAATCCGGATGTCTCTATGGTATTTGGTTATGTTGCATGGAAGTAAGGGGGTGAGTTTAATCTTACTTTTAGATTTGACAAAAATGACATTCCTCTTCTGTCCCAGCTATGCAGTTGAATAAAACTATATAAATACCGGAACATCATGAACACAGAATCATTTCATTACTTTAGATTCCGAAGGGACTTTTCACTTTTTTGATAGCACAGGCGCACTCTGAAAATTAGGTTAGTATATATAGCTATATAAGCCGAGTATATGGATCGAAACTTTTTGTTTATTGTTTATCAGAACGATTCTGGGCTACTTCTTGCCCCTTCTTCAGGTGATTTAAGACAGATGTAGAAAACAAGCTATATATACCAGATTTACAGGAAGCCAGATATGTACATGTATATACAATCAATCACAAAGGGCCGATCAAAAGCAGTTATAAAAACAATGGTAACTGGGATAAGGTAAAGCCAGTTGACACAAACAATGAGAATATAGAGATGTGGATACATCAGAGTGATATACAGCTAATTAAGTGACAATTAGATTTACAGGAAGCCAGAGATGTACATGTATATACAATCATATTAATGAGGCCAGATGAAAAGAAGTTATAAATACAATGATAATGAGATAAGATAAAGCCAGTTGACACAAAGAATGAGTATAAGGAGATGTGAACACAGCAGTGTGATATACAGCTAATTAAGTGACAATAGCGATGGGTGTGGATCGACTTTAGAGATGTTCGCGGCACTAGGGAGGTATACGCCTTGATCTTTATTAATCTCTGGGGTTAATCTCCATCGCCAATCAGGATCAACATACTCGTCTTGTATATTCACCAACTTCTAAATGCCTCTCATGAATCTTATATATAACTATATGTTTAGACCACGTAATTTCGTTTTGTACAGAAATGTTTAAAGTCTATTATCGACTTATTAGTATCTTATCTTATCTTATTTATTATCGACTTATTAGTATCTTATCTTATCTTATTTATTATCGACTTATGAGTCTCTTAACCTATTTATTACCGTCTTAATAGTCTCTTATCTTATCTTATTAATTATCGACTTATGAGTCTCTTATCTTATTTATGACCATCTTAATAGTCTCTTATCTTACTTCATATCCAGGGCAGTGTTGTATACAACAGGGATGGATCCCAACACCACCCTGTGAATCACTTGCTTGATAACGGTGCTAGAATCGACAAAGAAACGTCGCTCTTCATTGTAAATAAAGAAGTAGTTAGTATATTTATCTTACCCATTCTAACACACCCTGGATACACCCATTTGTTGGCGTAAAGTGCCTTGGCAGATCAATATACGTACGTATTACTGTCCCTGTACGTGGATATTAACGGATTCATTCGTCGAATTAGGCAACTGCCTGAAATTGTGCTATGTTACTTCATATAATAGTACGGCTGTGATAATTTATTATAGTTGTAGTTTATTTTTTCCATGTGTTGTAGCATTGAACAGAACCATTCTACTTCATTTATTTTGTCGTTTAAAAGTTCTCCGATGCGAGACAGATCACAAGCCGTTTGAAATGCCTACATATGTTATACATTTTACACACGGGCCTGAAATACGTCCACCTTTTTAACGGGTTCTCTTTTTAAGAAGTTCCAAGTTGCTTAAAACATCACTTTATACATGTTAGCCTATGATTAGGACTTATATGGAATAAATGTCCACTGACTTCCTTTTTTACACATGACGTGATTGAAAGGCAGTGTTCTGGTGAAATCCTTAGTTTGTTTTCCAAGTGTAAATAGTGGTAACGAAATCGGTCGAGATTTCTTGAACACCATCGGGTAATGCATGACGGAAACCATGCACAGATGTACATGTACATCTTACTCTACAACGTGGTATGATATTTGGTGAATGTTGTTTATTGTAATAGTTCATGTGTTGCATTGGCTGCCAGTAGGAGATCGGACGAACTAGTGATGTGTTACATTAAATATGATCACTTCTACCTGTCGTCGGCTCGATGGGGCTGGCCTACTGGCTCAGCAGGCCCAAGCACGAATTCCACATGGATACAATACGTGAAGCCCATTTTGGCTTCCTCCACCGTGATATTGCTGGAATATTGCTAGAAGTGGAGTAAAGGCTCACTCACCCAGTCAATCCTGAATCCAGGTTAGAAATGGTCGTCAGCAAGCCTTTGCTTGCCGTAAGAGGCGACGGGATCTTGCTGACACAAGACACCATGTGGCAGCTGTTGCAGAAGAACTAGGACAACTGGAATGTGGTCATCCATAGATATACAAAAAATGTATATTTATGACAACGTATCCAGCCTCATACGACAATATCTTGATCTTCCATCACAACTCAAAGCCCGGCAGCGCTTCAAAATAAATTAAGTAACAGAGGCAGGCCAAAGAGATTGAGTAACCAAAACAAAACAATGATCGATAGGGCGGAAGCTGGTGTGTTTCAGGTGTTTTGTTAAGATGGAAACTATTTAGACAGTGTTTCACCTCAGAAATAGAAAAAGGAGTGTTCAATCCATTTCTTCATTGTTATTATTCTGCTTTTCCCCTGTGCACTTTCACACAAAACGACAATCACGTAACTTAGCACATTTTTGCGCCAAATAGATATTGCAGTCAATATTCAGGATAAAATATATTGATGAAAAAGAGGCAGAATTATCATCATCCCTACTCTTCATCGGGTATCTGCTCGTCATTGTTTCAGTGTACAGCTGGAGTGTTCCTGCCCCACTCAACATCAGTGTGTGTAGCAACAGCCTGAGTTACCCACTGACATTGGATTGGACTTACACTCCCTCAACTCCAGATCCATTGATTATAGAATGGTCAAAACAAGGAACAAACAGAATACTTGATAACATTGCAACAAATATTAGTGGTACATTCATACCAAGTGCTGCATACACTGGAAGAGTCACAAGAACAGGAAGTACAGCAGAGATTGCAATACAAGGTCCACTGACAGCTGCAGATGCAGGAATATATCAGGTTTCTGTGACAGACAGTGGTGGACACAATTTACCTGGTTTTGCAAATGTGATCTTTCCAGGTAAGTAAGTATTGAATTACAAACACTGTTTGGAGTGTATTCATCATTAGACTAGACTTGAAGTAGAAATGTAGGGTATACGTCCGTCTATTCTAATTATTCTGGCAACTATCTGGGATTACTAGGTGCAAGATTCCAAAGCACAATAGTTAAGATATTGTCGAACACCCTGTCATTGGGGTGGAAATTTTGCTTAATTATATACTGAAAGTGGTAGAAACACACTCTGTTTTCTCAGTCCTTGTTTTCGGGGATATGAACAGCAGGACTGGCATTTCGCCTGACTATATGGAAGATTCAATTATCCAACATGTTGAGGGTAAAGATTTTGTAAGTGAATTTTTCACAGAATTTGAGATGGTAAGATATTCATGTGACAAGACTGTGAACAGTTTTGGGCAAACATTACTGAATTTGTGCACAATACTGAATATACATATCGTAAACGGGAGATGTGGAAGTGATTCCGGCATTGGTGATTTTACCTTCTTAGGTCATCTAGGATGTAGTGTGATTGATTATATTCTTGCGTCCACGGATATGTTCCCTTTAATCGCCAACTTTCACATCGTGTCACGGTCTGAATCCCAGCATCTTCCCATACAGCTAGAGGTCAATATACCCGGTAGCTCTTTGCCGAACCCGACCTCTACCCATATAGATCAGTGCAGGTACATATGGAAGGAGTCGTGTAAACTCAACTTTCTTCATCATATGGAATCCTCGGAGACTTTAGCATTACTCGAACAAGTAGCCATGTGTTCATTGACTAATGTAGCAGAAGCAGTCTCGATATTCACGGACGCCATCCTTTCAGCTGCCTCCATGTTTAGACGACCAGAAAGTCACAAAAGCAGCACTTCACCATGGTACGATAGTGAATGCCTCTCTAAAAGCATGAACGATGTCAGTTTCTAAATGCTTTTAGAAAATCAAAGACAAATCTTTCTTGTTGAAATATAAGAAAACATGCAGTGAATACAAGTCCTTATGTCGAACAAAGAAAGAAGAATATATTCAACGTCAGAGAGATGATTTGGAGACCTCGACAACTGACTCGAAACGTTTTTGGGGTACAATAAAACGTTTATCAGGTCGTAAACTGCGCCCAAACCCCATAGATATTGGAGACTGGGTGGATTATTTCTCTACCCTCTGCGACAGTCCAGATAATTTAGAATGTATAAATGACGATATACATGATATAGAAGATCCCCCAGATTCTATAAGAGTAATCACTGAAGATATTCTGGATTCCCCCTTAACAAGATTGGAGATCATTCGCAGTCTCGAGGCGCTAAAGAACAACAAATCTCCAGGACTTGATGACATATTGAGTGAATATCTTAAACATTCCTCCCATGTAATCGTTCCATACCTCGAGATAATATTCTATAGTATGTACCAAAAGGGTAAATTCCCAGAGACCTGGTCTACAGGAATAATTATTCCTTTTCATAAGAAAGGTGACACTTCTATCCCTGACAACTACAGAGCAATAAGCCTCCTGAGTATCCTCAGCAAAGTCTTCACGTACATCCTGAATCAGCGGTTAGTGTGCTGGGCTGATGTGTTGAGTAAAATTTCTGAGTGTCAATCAGGTTTTCGAAAAGGTTATTCAGTGGTTGACAATTGTTTTGTTCTGAATTCTATTATCGAGCGTTATCGTTCCCGGAAAGGTGGTAAATTCTACGTAGCTTTTGTTGATTTCTCGAAAGCTTTCGATTCTGTTCAAAGACATTTTCTTTGGAAGTTATTATATAAACACGGTCTGAGTCGTAAAATGGGTAAAATGTTAGAGTCTATTTATAATAGTGTAAAATCTTGTGTTCGCTCAAATAGTAGTTTATCTCGTGTATTTGATTGCCCAATGGGAGTCAGACAAGGGTGTATGCTCAGCCCCTTTTTGTTTCAGTTTTATATAAATGAACTAGTTAATGTAATTGAAACTGAATGTCGGTTTGGTGTCCAGCTACATCCAGATGTTACTCATATTTTCCTTCTTTTATTTGCGGATGACCTTATTTTGTTCGGGAACAGCGTGAGAAGTCTGCAGTTTAAACTAAATGTTCTTAATAGGTACTGTTCAGAATGGAAATTGTCAGTCAACATGCATAAAACTAAAATTGTTGTTTTTAAGAAAGGAGGTGGTTTATCTCGGTATGAAAAATGGTTTTATAATGGTAGTGTTGTTGAAGTTGTTTCAGGATATTGTTATCTCGGATTGTATTTTAGTAATAGGTTACAGTGGTCAAAAGCGTTTGACAATATTTCTATTCAAGCCAGAAAAATGTTGTCATTACTTCTTAGTAGTATACATTGTTTGAAACCACACTCGCCTCATCTGTACTTCAAATTATTCGATACAAAGATAACACCAATTCTCCTCTATGGGGCTGAAATTTGGGGGCTTAATAATATTGAAGAACTAGAAAAAGTACATTTATATGCCTGCAAACGTTTTCTAAACGTTAAGTTATCAACGTCCAATAATGGAGTATTAGCCGAGTGTGGTAGATATCCTGTCCAACTATCTGCTGTTTTAAAATGTATTAAATATTGGTTAAATCTTATTAACATGCCTGGATGCCGTTTGCCTCGAAAATGTTACAATATGATGCGTATGTATGAAGAGCAAGGCTATGAGAACTGGGTTACCAAGGTTAGAAATATCATATTTAAATTAGGTTTTGGTGATGTTTGGGTATCACACACTTACGGAAATAAAAACGTTTTTGTTAAAATGTTTTTTCAACGACTGAAAGATAATTTTCGGCAAGTTTGCCATAGTGATTTATCTGAGAGCCCCAAAATGTTTACGTATTGTAATTTTAAATTAACGATTTCTTGTGAAACATACTTAACTCATATTACTGTATCCAAATATAGATCTTGTTTATCACGATTTAGGTTAAGTTCCCATAGTTTAAAAATTGAAAGAGGACGTTACTATAACATCTCCCGGGAACAAAGAACATGCAAAATGTGTAACTTAAACGTAATTGAAAATGAATATCACTTCTTACTTATCTGTCCAGCCTACATTGAATTAAGACGTAAATATCTTTTGTCGCAATTCTATGTTTTCCCCAGTATACTAAAATTCAACTCGTTGTTATCATCCAAAAATAACGACATTTCCTTGAATACTGCTAAATATCTGTTTTATGCATTCGAAAAAAGGAAATCAATCGTGTCATATTAAGATTGTATATATTATACATGCTTTCATTGTTAACATTTTATTTCAAGTCTGCACCGATGAGGTGTTTTTGTACTCATAGGCCCGTGGCCTCATAGTATCAGAAATAAAGATTTGAAGTATTTGAAGTATTGGATGCCCTTCCTTGGCACAAACAGCATATTTTAAACGACATGATGGCATGGCTCGTTTGTTTTACTACCGTCTGTGCCTGTCTGTGACTTTGACTGTGAGGTCTATTCATGAGAAAACGATGGTTTCAAACCTTTTTGGAATAGGCCCACAACAGCCTCAGAAGAAGTCCTGCCAACAAACCTGATCTTGTTCTTTTTGATAAGGGCAATGGATTCATTTATATCATTGGATTTTCCTGTCCATTTTGACAGCAATGTGATAGGCAAGATTCAGGAAAAGCATGATCAATATGCGGACCTCGCCTTTGAAATATCTAGCTTGCATCCAATTACACTGGTTACGTCAGGTTCCCCATTGTTCTCGATGCCCTTGGTTTGGAACCTCCTGATCTCTTGGCGATGATCAGGAGAGTACCCGGGTTCTCCACCGGGAGCACAGCCCTTCTAACACTCTGGGTAATGCAGAAGTCTGCAGTGTCGGGGAGTCTACATATTCTGCGGAAAGGATTTTGAGAGGGATCGACTAGGCAGCGACCCTTTCGCTGCCTGGGCTACGTGTGGGGTCCTTGGCCCCGTTTCACAAAGCTCTCGTAAGCCTAAGATCTCGTAACTTTCCTCGGAGCATTCGTACCTCCTATACTGTAACATAGGAGGTACGACGCTACGAGAAAAGTTACGAGAACTTAGGCTTACGAGAGCTTCGTGAAACGGGGCCCTGAGCTGATGATGAGCCTTACCAGTCTGACTGTGTCAGGGTCACCTGAAACCTCTCTGCTGCATTTTAATCTTAATCTGTAAAACATAATTAACAACTATTGTCTGATGTTTCCCCATACGGTAACATGTTTTGAAAATAAAATCATTGGGTTTAAGAGTTAGCTTTTCCCCACTATTTACTTATGCAGAGAGGCAACCATGAAGGGCCACCTCCTCGTGGTGGGTGCTGGGTAACGTTAGGCGCCCTTCGACCCCCCGTTGTGGACCCGGGGGGATATTTGGTCCACCAACCCGTTTGCCGTGGGTTGCGCCCCTGTGTCGGTGGAGGACGGGATTCTGGTGGTTGAGGGCATTGGTTCCAGGAACAGTGTTCCTTTGCCCAACACACCACTTCGGCCCTTACTTCACCTAGACGGGTGGTTGAATTGGCCCGGTTCAACCAATCGGCTGGTCATGTCGAGCCCTGTGCATTCTTTGTATTTGCACAAAATTCTATTTTGAACTGTATTACTTGACTTTAGGTCTCGGCTCTTTCTGTCTATACATTACTTGATTTTGACATATGACCTATTTCATTTGCCTAGAGTCTTATGCCCAGAAGGCGGTGGCTCATGGGCCAATCTGGTGGGATTTATCTTTTCTAGATATTTTCTGCTTGAGTATACCCTCCTAGTATCCTTGGTGCCGTCTGCTGGAGACCCACAGACATAAGGCATCGTCCTTGTTGACACTCCATGGTGGGTCGGGAGCTAGGAGGGTGAATCATATATATATCTACCATGGCACCCCCACTTAAAAAACGATCACACGAATCTGAAGATTCGTTTTCTTCTGAGGATGAGACTCCTGCAGTCCTCACAAACCCGGATAACTGGCCTCGTCAGCACCGGATGGTGGAGCTCTTAAGCCGAATCCTTTCGCTGTAGCAAACGGTATCGAGGGTTTAGCAGGTGATGTCAAGGAAATTAAAAAACTAAGATCTGGTTCACTGCTCATCGAGTGCCGGAAACTGATCCAATCTCAGATTCTGCAATCATCTAAATTTTTGGCGAATGTTCCTGTGGAGGTGTCCCCTCTCAGGACATTGAATAACAGCAAAGGTATCGTCCGTGATGTTGAACGTTGTCTTGCAGACATGAATGAACATGAGATTGTGACAGAATTGCATGCTCAAGGCGTCACTGATGTCAAACGCTTCACTGCAAGAAAGAACAACGAGACCTTCAAAAAAAACACCTATTTGTTCACGTTTTGTCTGCCTAAACACCCACACTCACTAAAAGCGGGATACTGCAATTTGAAGGTCGACACAAAGGTCGAAGGTCAAAGTCTTGCCACAATCCGGCTGCATGTCACAGATGTGCCGGAAAGTGTGAAGACGGTAATCTTGGTGACAAAAAATCCTGCTTGTGTCAACTGTTCTGGCAACCATCCATCTTCTTCCAAGGATTGTCCTACTTGGAAGCTTCAATCCAAAATTTCACAACTTAAGCATCAGCAGAACATAACGTTTTCAGAGGCGAAGAAAATTGTTCTTTCACAAGAACAATCAGGTCCAACTTATTCAAACGCACTTACTGCATCTCCTCAGACATCCAAGCCAAAACATATTCCTTGTAATTCTGTAGGTTGCCAGACAGACTACAGATGGGCAAGGACGTCTGCTCCAACCTTGCTGTCTGCTGAAGTCCAGTCACGGCCTTCACAAGTGACCTGCAGTTCACAAACCTCAGACTCATCCAAAAGTATACTTCAATCGACGACATCACTTGAGATAGATACATCTCAGAAACAGTCAACTAACCCTGAACCAACTGTTAAACCAGCTGCAAAACACAAGTCAAAACAGAACCGTGAAACTTTCAAACAGAATCAAAGTGAAAGAGCCCCAAAATGGGCGCATAACCATGACCAGATTTTTAATAAAATTTGGATCCCTTGATGACATGGATGTGTCCGAGCAAAGCCATGGTAGGACTCATCGCTTGTCGCCATCTAGGAAGGTGAGGGGTAGATCTCCTGTTTATCCTCCGAAGAAATAATGTCCTCACCTATCATACAATGGAATTGTAGAGGACTTCGGAATAAGTTAAATGATTTACAATTATTAATCCAGGATGTTAGACCGTCAGCTCTCTCCATACAAGAAACATATCTGAAACAAACTGATAATTTTGAGTTACGTCAGTTCAATGCCTATCACTGTTTTTCTCCCTCGGGAGACAGAGCTATTGGTGGATCATCAATCCTGGTAAGGCAGAGTGTTGTTCATAGCCCAGTTATGCTCACAACCAATCTCCAGGCCGTTGCAGTGCGACCTACGTTGCACGCTGCATTCACTTTGTGCTCTTTATACCTTCCGCCTTCATCAACTGTTCAACTAACCGATCTGCAAGCTCTTTATGATCAACTACCTAAACCTTGTATAATCATGGGTGATTTAAATGGCCACAACCCACTATGGGGTGGCACTAATACACACACCAAAGGTAAATTACTGGAGGATTTTATTTCAAACAACGATTTACGCATTTATAATGACGGTTCAAATACGTATCTTCATCCTGGCACAGGAACATATACAGCTCTTGATTTGTCAGTTACTGACTCCAACCTATTGTGTGAATTTGAATGGTCAGTCCACGACGACCTCTGTGGAAGTGACCATTTCCCAACATTGCTAAAACCTGTGAATCCATCTGACGTTCCTCCATCATCAAGATGGA